CAGCTGCGGCTATGAATGGAGCTGGCTCAGTGTGCATCCTCTGTCTGCCACCCTTTCACCCAGACTGGCTCGCAGACTGTCCCACACAGCTCGCAAACCTACACACAAGATGCTGTTGGCTTCCTATCTTGGAACAAAACATCCCAAAGTCTCAGCAAAGCCATTTCACACTGCACAGCAGACAGCTATTCTCTCCAGGATGGTCCCAAATCTCTCCCCAAAGAGCAGTGCAGTACCTATTAGCTTGCTTGGCAAAGGCATCCTGTGACAAAAGGTTACACAGGTACCAACAGTTTAGAAACACAAGACAATGAATAAAAACTGAAAGTGAAATGGAAATGGGCTTCTGCTTAACAGGATTGCCTGGCTGCCAGAATGAAAATCTGTGTCTGCTCTGAAAGCCTGGCAATCTGTCACTAACCGCTCACACTCCAGCAGACAGCTTGTTTCTAATTTAGTTGGCTGCCATAAAAGAAACCAAGCTGGAAGTGAGATTTCCATCCTTAACCAGCAGCCTGGAACCAGGGATTTTCACTTATACAGAAAAATAAGTGGGGGTGGCAGACTTTGTAGCTCTAAGATTAGAAACAGTCAGCCTTTGGCAAACAAATTCCCTCGTGACTAGCAAAATTAGGCCATGAGGTCCCAAACTAGGGTCCTACCCAAGGTACTGGTGGAGGGTATGAGCCCACCCTGCCCTTCCCATCTTGTCAAATGAAAAAGGAATCCTGGGACAGAAATGTTGTGGAAGCATCAGGTAGGACAGGCAACCCCCCACAAAAAAAAGGGGAAGAAGCCCCCACCTGAAAGCCAGAGTTCAGCAGACAGCAAGAAGCAGTCCAGTGACAAGGCCATTTCTGTCTCAAGGCTCACAGACATGATACTAAATCTGACAGTTGGTAACAAGAAGCAGACAGGGAACTCAGACCCGTGAGCTAATACTGGAAGTTGCAGAGAACATACCTCTGAGAGTTCACATTTGGATATGTCAAGAATGTCATCAGCACCAGCTTCTTTTGCCTGGAGAGAGAAGATAGGCATCCAGAGAATCAGACCATGCAGAAATAAATGGCCTCTTGCTGCATATTGACTAAACTACTCAGCTGGTCCTTCCCTAGAAAATGCAGTTACAGTTCTCTAGAACTGTAGCTGCAGCTACGTAATTCAGTGACAACGCTAAGAGCAAAGGGTGTGCTGCTACAACTGCAGCAAGCGAAAGGAACCAGGAAACCAAACTGCAGAAAAACCCTTTTGGTGCAATAAATTAATTTCCGCACAGAGCACCAAAGCACATCCTAATTCTGCAATTTTAACTGAAAGCACATGCAAAGGAAATGATGGGTTCCCAAGAGAGGCACTTCCTAGGAACAACAGTAGTGCCATCCTAGCGCGTAAAGAGCCTGCTGTGTCACTGGCATGTCTCACCCAGCCGACCAACCTTCTCCTGGCTGTACACAGGAACCAAAATAACCTGCTATTACATTTTGCTTCCATGGGACCTGCAGAGGCAACTGTGCTGTGTAAGAATAAGCAAGCTTCTGGACAAAAGTGGTTTTCCATGTTCAAATCCGCCACATCCAATGCAGCTGCTAACAGCAACGAAACTGGACAAGCCTCACTGTGAGCAGCATTGCATCTCTGGACTTATTTTCCTAAATAAAAGATACCGCATGAGGCAATAAAACCTGCTTGTGTTAGTGCTTCTGTTAAGTCTTCAGAACTGGATGTCTGACTCTAAACTAAGCATATGCAATACAGAACTAATCCTAGAACAGATTAAGCTATCCCTCCCCAGCCCCACAGGAGCTGGACAGAAACCCTACCAACTGAATAAATTCAGTAAAGCTGGTTTAATTATTGGTACATAATTAAATGGCCTTCCTTTCCAAAATACCTTACTGACATCCAACAAGCATAATTTTGTCATTTTTAAAATGCAGGTGCCTCTGGGGTAGAGCACAGTAGATCCCCTATGCCAGCGCTGGTCCACAGCTCCCACGGCAGAATAGGTGAAATAATTCAAAAGATGATTGCTTTGAGAAAGACAACTTTAAATCTGCGGCTGCTGTAAGGCAGGCAGTTCTGCTGACCTCGCTGGCGTGACAGCAACCTGCTGAGGATCAACCCCAGAGGATCCTGGCCAAATCCTAGTCCAGGAAAACAAACAGCAGCATCTTGCAAGTTAATCCTCTGAATGATAGGAAGAAACAAAATAACAGTGAGAAGCAAAGGAGGGGCACAAAGAACGCCAAGTATGATGGGAAAGGGGATGTCACAGGTTCCTTGGTAGGAAAAGCAAACTGGGAGATCTGTAAGAGTGCAGAGGATCCTGGCATGGAGGAGAAAGGAGGGGTGGTGTCCCAGGTGCAGGCTGGCAGGAGGTGGGGTGGGGTGGAGGACGTTACGTGGAACCACAGCAGCAGAGAGGGGTGGAAGTGGCACGAAGGGGACCTGTGGATGGGAGGGCAAAGGGAGACGGGGAAAGCAGGAATTCTCTGATGTACATTAGGAAGATGACCTGCTGTCTTGGTGAGATCAGTAACACGGTTACTGGTAACACAGAGGAGGCACCGATTCACCTGGCATCCAGGACTAGACACAGAGAACAGAAAAGACCTCGGCATTGCTTACCAGGCACATTTGGTATTCAAGGCGCTTTCGAGCGTCATCACTGGGTTTCTTCTTGCGGAAGAAGAGTGGCATCTTTAGTTTTGACTATAGCTCTGTCTCAGTGGCACAAATGATCAGCGTAAATAAAGGCAGAGCGCTCCTGGAGTATGCGTTTGCTGGGGAGCCTGGAGTACAGAACTATGCTCTAGTAAGTAGGGAAAAAAAAAGGAAAAAAGAAAAAAATCACTGTCTCGGCAATTGTCTTTGTTTAAGCCCTTCTCTGGCTTGATCAAACAGGCGGATTCCAGCACACCTCCACGGTGGAAGTGTTAACATGAGCCGCAAAAGCACTGCTGTGTCTCTGAGAGGGGTTGATTGTCTTGGTCACCCCTGTGCAAGATAAATTAAGTCAAGCTGGAACATGTACAGAGAAAGGCTATTGAGTGATCAGGAAAACGCAGGGTCCACTCTAGGACAGGAACTAAAAAGGCTGTAACTGTATCAAGAGATCAAGCACCAGGGACAAAACCCAAACTACTTAAACTCAAAGTTAATTCTGGCACAATAACAAGCAAATGTAAAATGCTCTAGAATAAAGCTAGGCTAGAAATGTGAAAAACTCCTAATCCTGAGAGCCACACAGCTGCCTTCCCTTTCCAGGCAGGTGAGAATAAACAAGACCCCGCAGTTCAAAATACAGACAACTGTTTGAAAGGGACTTGGTGACTACTGAGTACAGCAGAGCCTCCTCTGGCACATCACGCAGCCCGTCCCAGCTTCCCGGGACGTCACGGGGACCCCAGACAGACACCGGAATCAGGATGCCCAAGCTAAACTTTGCTTCTCAGCTTTAGGGGTTGTCTCAAGTTAACAAAACACTTGATTCATTTGCTTTCTAGGCAGAAGCAGAGTCTTCACCCATTTTAGTCACACAGTGAGACGAAAAGATTCTGCTTAAACACTCAATAGCTTAAAGTCAGACTTTTAATAAAATAAAGCCAAATCAATTTCCAATAGTCTTAATAACTGCCTGCAAAGCTAAAAGCACCTAGCTTCAAAAAAACTCTGACTACAAACCAGAGCCAATCGCTGCTGCCCCAGCCACGTGCCGGGCTGAGCTATTGCCCTCCCAGGCACGTGGGAGCTTCTCCCAGGCTGTGTGTCTCCAGGACAGATTGCTGTACTCCATCCTGGGCTTACAGGGCAGCCAGACCTTCCCCAAAACGGTTGTTCCAGGTCACTACAGGACTAAGAGCTGGAGAATGTTTTTCTGTTAATTCAACTGGACTGTATGCAAAGACACCAGCTGATTGAAGCGTAAAGGGAAGAGAATCATAGAATCATAGAATCATAGAATCATTAAGGTTGGAAGAGACCTCTAAGATGATCGAGTCCAACTGTCAACCCAACACCCCCATGCCCACTAAACCATGTCCCTCAGCGCCTCATCTACACGTCTTTTAAACACCTCCAGGGATGGGGACTCAACCACTTCCCTGGGCAGCCTGTTCCAATGTTTAACCACTCTTTCAGTC